ATCATGAGGTCAGGAGTTCGAGACCAGCCTGGCCAACATAGTGAAATCCTGTCTCTACTAAAAATACAAAAAATTGGCCAGGTGTGGCGGTGAGTACCTGTAATCCCAGCAACTCGGGAGGCTGAGGCAGGAGAATTGCTTGAAATTGGGAAGCAGAGGTTGCAGTGAGCCATTGCACTTTTGCCCAGGTGACAGTGCAAGAGACTCTGTCTCAAAAAAAAAAAAGAAAGAAAAGAGTTTTTCCTAAGGAAAAAATAAGGAGATAGGTAAAGATTAATTACATGGATTTTTAAAGAATAGTTTTACAAAACGAAAGAAAAAAAACACAAAGAATTTAATTTTAATGTCCCTGGACAGACCACTGGTGAAATATACTATGATATAAAATAAAATGCCATGTAGCCACCAAAAAGAAAAAACACAATAACCCACTATTCTATCTGAAGATAGATTAGAAAAACAATACAAATAAAGAACTATGTTGTAAAAAGATGATTTTTTTTTTTTAATTTTGAGATGGAGTTTTGCTCTTGTCACCCAGGGTGGAGTTCAGTGGTGGGATCTCAGCTCATTGCAACCTCCTCTTCCTGGGTTCAAACGATTCTTCTACCTGAGCCTCCCAAGTAGCTGGGATTATAGGCCCACATCACCATGCCTGGCTAATTTTTTTTTTCTTTTTTTGAGACGGAGTTTCGCTCTTATTGCCCAAGCTGGAGTGCAATAGTGCGATCTTGGCATAAGCCACTGTGCCCTGCCCAGATCTCAATTCTATTTGTAATACACAAAACTCTTAGTTTCTCTGATTGTTACCTTCATTCATCATAAAAATATAAATGATGATAAAACCTGGTTTGCAATATTGTTATGAAAATTAAATTAGGTCATGAATATGAAGGCACTTTGTAAACTGTAATACTAATATTAAAGTTAGTTATTATTTTTTAAGAGACAGGGTCTCTGTCACCCAGGCTAGAGTGCCGTGACACAATCATAGATCATTGCAGCCTCCAACTCAGGTCAAGTGATCCTCCCACCTCAGCCTCCCAAGTAGCTAGGACTACAAGCATGCACCACAATGCCTGGCTGATTTTTAAATTTTATTTGTAGAGACAGGGTCTTGCTATATTGCCCAGGCTGGTTGTGAACTTCTGGCTTCAGGTGGTCCTCCTGCCTGTGCTTCCCAAAGTGTTGGAATTACAGGTATGAGTCTTCATGCCCAGCCTAAAGTTAGTTATTAATGAAGTTTTGAAGTAGAAAACTGATGGCAAGATTATGGAAAATGAGGAGAAACCAGGTATGTACTTCCCAAGACACCTCAACAAAATAGTTTTCTTTTTCTGGTGTGTTTACCATGGCCTGGATCTTGCCAATATCCCTACAGACACCTGGTTTTGTCAGCACAGAGAGTAGATCCAACTCTTGAGGATAGACTCATATTAATCAAGCTTACAAGGCTGATTTTTTTTTTTTTTTGAGACGGAGTTTCTCTCTTATTACCCAGGCTGGAGTGCAATGGCGTGATCTCGGCTCACTGCAACCTACGCCTCCTGGGTTCAGGCAATTCTCCTGCCTCAGCCTCCTGAGTAGCTGGGATTACAGGCATATGCCACCATGCCCAGCTAATTTTTTGTATTTTTAGTAGAGATGGGGTTTCACCATGTTGACCAGGGTGGTATCGATCTCTTGACCTCGTGATCCACCCGCCTTGGCCTCCCAAAGTGCTGGGGTTACAGGCGTGAGCCACCGTGCCCGGCCTACAAGGCTGATTTATAAGCTAGAATATATAAATTAGAATGTCAGTTTATCAATTTATACAAATCAAACCTACCATGAAGAATAGAATATTTGAGTCAGCACAACCAGCTCTCTAACTGCCCACAAACATTGCTCCTTGGTTCACCAAATTATATTCAGAAGGTTACTTGGTGAGTATGCATATTAGTGTTCTGTGACTGCTGTAACAAATTACTACAACTGGATGGCTTAAAATAGCAGAAATGTATTCTCTCAAAGTTCTAGAGGCTAGAAGTTCGAAATTAAGATCACTGGATCAAAATAAAGGTGTTGGCCAGGCATGGTGGTGCACGCCTGTAGTCCCAGCTGCTAGGGAGGGTGAGGTAGGAGGATCGATTGAGCCCAGGGGGTCAAAGTTGCAGTGAGCTATGATTGCACCACAGCACTCCAGCCTGGATGACAGAGTGAGACCCTGTCTTAAAAAAAGAAAAAAAAAAAAGCTGGGCACAATGACTCACACCTGTAATCCCAGCACTTTGGGAGGCCGAGGTGGGCTGATCATCTGAGGTCAGGAGTTCGAGACCAGCCTGACCAACATGGTGAAACCCTGTCTCTACTAAAAACACAAAATTAGCCAAGTGCGGTGGTGCACGCCTGTAATCTCAACTACTTGGAAGCCTGAGGCAGGAGAATTGCTTGAACTTGGAGTTGGAGCTTGCAGTGAGCCGAGATTGTGCCATTGCACCTCAGCCTAGGCAACAAGGGCAAAACTCTGTCTTTAAAAAAAAAAAAAAAGGGAAAGAAAAATCAAGGCATTGATGAGACTGTACTCATCTTCCCCAGGGGCTGTAGGGGAGAATGTAATCTTTGCCTCTTACAGCTTCTGTTAGTTGTCATTTCTTCTCTTGTGACAGCATCACTCCAATCCCTGTCTTTATCTTCACATTGTCTTCTCCTTTCTTTGTGTGTGAAATCTCTCTCTCTCTCTCTCTCTCTCTCTCTCTCTCAAATACAGCTGACTGTATTTAGGGTGCATCCACATAATCCAGAGTAATATAATCTCAGGATCCTGAACTTAATCACATCTGCAAAGACACCTCCCTGCCTTTTTTTTTTTTTTTTTTTTGCCATATAAAGCATTGTTTACAGGTTGTAGGGATTAGGAAATGAAGATCTTTTTTCAGAGAACATTTTTCAACTTATCACAGCATGGAAATTGGGACTAGGGGAGTGACCCGGTTTAGAGATATGTCCCTTCCAAATCTTATGTTGAAATGTGACCTTCAATGTTGGAGGTTGGAGGTGGGTGTTTGGTTCATGGGGGCAGATCCCTCATGAATGGCTTCGTACCTTCTCCATGGTAATGAATGAGTGAGTTCTCACTCTCTTAGCTCACACTAGAGCTGGTTATTTAAAAGACCTGACATCTGTCTTGCTTCCTCTCTTGCGATGTGACAGGCCTGCTCCCCTGTCACCTTCTGCCATGAGTAAAAGCTTCTTGAGACCTCACTGGTGCCATGCTTGTACTGCCTGCAGGACCATGAGTCAAATAAACCTCCTTTCTTTGTAAATTACCCAGTCTCAGGTATTCCTTTTGTGGGAAGTAAAAAAGTTCCTTTCTAAAGTTTCCTTTCTTGTTAAATCACAAGTGTGCTATTAACTCTTTATTAAGCCCTATCCTATGTAGCTGTTGGATATGCTGTGCTTACAGGCACGTAGTACATTCTGTGTCCCTGTATTTTAACCAAGATATTTGAGCTGGATGTGCTCACAGGCATGTCCCAGCTCTCCATTGCTTTTACCTATTTAGAAAAGTTTTAGGTTGTTAGCCAGTCGAGTTTTAGTTTAGATTGTGAGGTCTGGCTGCAGCCAATGGAGATCAGACACAGAAGTAAGGGCAACCCCAAATACGTAAGGAATAAATTTGTGTGTTTTCCCTTTGTTCTTTGTACTCTCATGGCATGACGGCTAGTGAGAGTACCCTTCCTGTTGTACAGGAAACAAAAATTGCACTGCTGAAAGATCCTTTGTCTCAAGGCTAATTTTTATTTTTGGCACCAAGCATCTATTTCCAACACGTTATTTATTTATTTATTTATTTATTTATTATTATTTTTTTTTGAGATGGAGTTTCACTCTTGTTACCCAGGCTGGAGTGAGGCAATTCTCCTGCCTCAGCCTCCTGAGTAGGTGGGATTACAGGCACACGCCACCATGCCCAGCTAATTTTTTGTATTTTTAGTAGAGACGGGGTTTCACCATGTTGACCAGGATGGTCTTGATCTGTTGACCTCGTGATCCACCCGCCTCAGCCTCCCAAAGTGCTGGGATTACAGGCTTGAGCCACCGCGCCCGGCCTATTTGTTTATTTTAAGATGGGGTTTCACCATGTTGGTCAGGCTGGTCTTGAACTCCCGAACTCAAGTGATCCTCCTGCCTTGGCCTCCAAAGTGCTTTGATTACAGGCGTGAGCCACTATGCCCGGCCTATTTCCAAGACTTTATAGCCAAGCAAAATGGACTAATGCAAGGAGTGAGTTATGCTGCTAGAAAGATTGAAGACATCAGGCTACCATTGTGTGATGCATTTACTTTCACAGTCGGGATAGCCTAGTCAGGTGTCCTAAATACTCAAGTCCATTGCCAAGATTCATTCTCCCGAATACCATCCTTGGTCACTACCAGTGTTTTCTTCTGTGGCTCTGCTTTTTGATGCTTCCATGGCTAACAAAACTACTTTGATTGGCCAAGTTTTCTTTTTTGTCTTGTTCTAGCTTGGGAACTATTCTATTTTTTTAATTGATAGCTTTGCCTAGCTCTGTTATGACCCACTATATATTAACATTTATAGCTTCTTTCTTTTTTTTTTTTTTTGAGGCGGAGTTTCGCTCTTGTTACCCAGGCTGGAGTGCAATGGCGCGATCTCAGCTCACCGCAACCTCCGCCTCCTGGGTTCAGGCAATTCTCCTGCCTCAGCCTCCTGAGTAGCTGGGATTACAGGCACATGCCACCATGCCCAGCTAATTTTTTGTATTTTTAGTAGAGACAGGGTTTCACCATGTTGACCAGGATGGTGTCGATCTCTTGACCTCGTGATCCACCCTCCTCAGCCTCCCAAAGTGCTGGGATTACAGGCTTGAGCCACCGCGCCCGGTCTATAGCTTACTTCTTAATAGGAAATTTCTTTACTAATAAAAATAACATAGGTATAGTGGTTTCTTCTTCCTGAATAGTAAAGTAAATTTCTAACAGTCCTACCTTCTGCAGATAACAACATGAACCGAGGACACAAAACAAAACAAGGACCTGAAGGCTCTGGAGAATTAGCCAAAGCAAGCATATTTAGGAGGAGAGTTGGAAGACAGATGAAGGAGTTGCTTCAGGGTGAGTTTCCCATCTGTGTTGTTAGACTAAGGGCATACCACAGACATGGTGTGGCATAAGACAGCTAAAACTATGATGCAAAACCCACCATCTGTCTGGCCTGAAGAACCAGAGTTCAGAGCTCAGGGCATACAGTCATGGGGAAGTGAGGAGGCAATGACAGAAAGAAGAAAATCAGGAAATGGGGGCCCCCAAATCTGCTTATAAATACCATCCAAATCTCTGGCTGATCTGAAAGAAGCTGGCAGTTAAGGTTAAAATAATTTTAGCCTTAAAATTTTACCATGAGATCCGAGCTTCCACCCACCACCAGAGGTGACACAGAACCCGTTGTTTACTCAAACAGAAACACCAACACTTCAGAAGAATATAGCAGAGTCTGTATAACATAACATTCACAATGTCTAGGATATAATCCAAAAGTCTTCAACACACACAAAGCAAAAAATATGACTAATTCTCAAGGGAAAACATAATCAACAGAGGTCAATCCTAAGATGGCTGTGCTGGTTATTGATTTTTCTTGCCTCTCAGCTCCAAATTCACCCTTTTTGCCTGATCTGTAAAAATGAATGGTGGTTTGGCTAGGCATGGTGGCTTATGCCCGTAATTCTATCATTTTGGGAAGCTGAGGTGGACAGATCATGAGGTCAGGAGTTTGAGACCAGCCTGGCCAACAGGGTGAAACCCTGTCTCTACCAAAAAAATACAGAAATTAGCCGGGCCCAGTGGCAGGCGCCTGCAATCCCAGACACTCAGGAGTCTGAGGCAGGAGAATTGCTTGAACCCAGGAGGTAGAGGTTGCAGTGAGCTGAGATCATGCCACTGCACTCTAGCCTGGGCAACAGAGGAAAAAAGGAATGGAGAAACTGTAAGAGGTTATAAAAAGTTTATGAAAACCTTACCTTGTGTGGTCAAAACTGGTTGAGATTGGATGGATTCGTTTATAAGATTTCATTAAAATTAGCTTTGGCATTAATAGTACACATGGAAAGATAGACTTTGGCTTTCTGTTTTAAACAAGGTTTTTGTGCAGTATTAATAAGAGATAGCAAAAGATTTTTGCTTACTTTTTAATTAAGCTGCCAAAAAAAAAAAAAAAAAAAAAAAAGAATGGCAGGAGAGCTGGGGAGGGAGAGATTTTGTTTGCCTCATGTTGTCTTTCTTGATTTGAAGATATGGGGTCTTGCTATGTTGCCCAGGCTGGTCTTGACCTCCTGGACTTAAGCAATCCTCCACCTCAGTCTCCTCAAAAGTGCTTGGATTACAGGCATGAGCCACCACATCCAGCCCCTTGTGTTGTCTTTATTAGGTCTTTTGATTGTTTGGGAAACTGAGTCTCTATCAAAGAGTAAGGTTTTCGCTTTTTGAAATATTTGACTTGTTATCACTTTGGCTGAATGAATGATTATGATTTTGCAGACTTGTGATCCTATATTGATCAAGTGTTTTAAACCTTTTTAACTTAATTTTATTGATTTATTTTTGTGAGAGGGTCTCAGTTGCTTAGCCTGGAGGGCAGTGGCACAATCATAGCTTACTGCAGCCTTGAACTCCCGGGTTCAACCAATCTTCTTGCCTCAGCCTCCTGAGTAAGTGGGGCTATAGACATGTGCTTCTGCTTATCATCCGTGCTAATTTTAAAAAAATTTGTAGAGATGGAGTCTCACTCTGTTTTCCAGGCTGTTCTCAAATTCCTGGCTTCAAGTGACCTTCCCACCTCGGCCTCCCAAAATGCTAGGATTACAGGTGTGAGCCACCATGTTTGGCCTCTTATTTTAATATCAAGTGTTTTAAACCATTGATATTTGACCAATTTTCCCAAATCACATTTCAAATTCTAAAATTAAGTCTTTTTCCCCTTAAAGCATTGGCAAGTAAGAAATAATGTTTAACTTTGAGTTATATTAATAAGTGTGTTATTAACGTGTGTTCCAAAATGTAGACTATTTCTAAAATTCTGATATGCCTTGATATATCCTCCTCCCTTGGCCTCCCAAAGTACTGGGTTTACAGGCAGGAGGCTTGGTATATGTTATCAGTAGTAATTATGATTATTATATTAAAATTGTTACATGCCACAAAAGTAGCCAAATTTCCTTATGTATTAGTTTGTTCTCATGCTGCTAATAAAGACAAACCCAAGACTGGGTAATTTGTAAAGGAAAGAAGTTTAATTGACTCACATTTCCACATAGCTGGGGAGGCCTCACAATCCTGGTAGAAGATGAAGGAGGAGCAAAGTCATGTCTTACATGGCAGCAGGCCAAGAGAGCTTGTGAGGGGAAACTCCCATTTATAATGCCATCAGATCTCATGAGACTTATTCACTACCATGAGAACAGTATGGGGAAAACTGCCTTCATGATTCAGTTATCTCCACCTGGCCCTGACCTTCACACATGGGAATTATTACAATTCAAGTTGAGATCTTGAATTGTAATAAGATCTCAGCTTGGGTGGGGACATGGCCAAACCATATTGCCTTACCAATTATGGTTTTGTCTTTTCTTTTTTTTGAAACAAAGTTTCACTCTGTTACCCAGGCTCAAGTGTGCAGTGGTGCAATCATGGCTCACTACAGCCTTAACCTCCAAGCATAAGTGATCCTCCCATCTTGGCCTCCTGACTAGCTGGCTAATTTAAAAAATTTTTTGTAGAGGTGTGGTGTCACTATGTTGCCCAGACTGGTCTTGAACTCCTAGGCTCAAGAAAATGCTGAGATTACAGGTATGAGCCACCACACCTGGCTCCTTATTTTATTTTTAGAGACAGGATCCCAATCTGTCCCAGACTGGGGTACAGTGGCATGATCATAGCTTATTTTAGCCAAGAACTACTTCTGGGCTCAAGTGATCCTCCCACTTCAGTTTTCTGAGTATCTAGGACTACAGGGACATGCCACCATGCCTGGCACCTAGCTATTTTTTAAAGATTTTGCAGAGATGGGGTCTTGCTATGTTGCTCAGGCTGGTCTTGAACTTTTGACCTCAAGTGATCCTCCTACCTTGGCTTCCCAAAGTACTGGGATTACAGGCATGCACCACCATGCCTGACCTTCATTAGTGTCTTTAATCATGGCTATTGTCAACCCACTATCAAGCGAAGAAAAATTAATTACATGGGACTGAACTAATAGAGTACTAAAATAATTTTTAATAACTTGTTTGTTTGAAACATTGCTGATTCTTTTTATGTTTTGTTTTCCAGAGTTAAGAAAACTGTTTTTTTTTAGTTTTTAGCTATTTATTATTATTATTATTATTATTATTATTATTGAGACAGAGTCTCTGTTATCTAGGCTGGAGTGCAATGGTGCTATCTCAGCTCACTGCAATCTTTGCCTCCCAGGTTCAAGTGATTCTTGCACTTCAGCCTCCCAAGTAGCTGGGATTACAGTTTCATGCCACCATGCCCAGCTAATTTTCCTAGTTTAGTAGAGACAGATTTCACCATCCTAGCCAGGCTGGTCTTGAACTCCTGACTTCAAATGATCCACTTGCCTCAGCCTCCCAAAGTGCTGAGATTACAGTGTGAGACACTGTGTGTGGCCTAATGTTTGTTTTTGAGACAGTCTCTCTCTGTCACCCAGCTGGAGTGTAGTAGCACAATCATGGTTCACTGCAGCCTTAAGTTTTTGGGCTCATTCAATCCTCCCTCCTTAGCCTCCTGAATAGCTGGGACTACAGGTGCATGCCACTGGATAATTTTTTTTCTCTTATTCTATACAGTGGATGTGCTTTTACACAAGCCACTGGATAATTTTTGTAAAGATGGCATTTTGCCATGTTGCCCATGCTGGTCTGGAACTCCTAGGCTCAAATGACTCACCAGCCTTGGCTTCCCAAAGTACGGGGATTGCAGGCATGAACCGCTGCACTTGGCCTTGAGCTATTTATAGTTTATAGCCGTTGGGTAAATTATACTTCTATGAGCAAAATCAAAATATTCACTTTTCTCTCTGCCTGATTCCTCCAGAATTCAGAAACTATTTGTAAGTATTCTTGATTTATGGCATTATGGTTATTTGAATAAGTTCAATAAGAATCTGTTTTCTTTTGTAATGAGACACAATTGGAGCCTGATTTTACTAAGGCATTGACTGAAATGGCATATTTTCAAATATGACCAGATTGCTTTCAGGAATTGAAGTTGATACAAAGCCTCTTGGAAAGCATAGCCCACTACCTTGTCTACATAGTTCCCTTACAAGATTTCTGACCTATGATAAGTAAAGAATGTCACTTTCTGACAGGTCTAGGAATTACTTTTTTTCCTTTTTTCTTTTAGACAGTGGCTCACTCCATCACCCAGGCTGGAATGTAGTGGCATGATCTTGGCTCACTGCAACCTCCACCTTCTAGGCTCAAGTGATTCTCAAGCCTCAGCCTCCTAAACTGGGATTACAGGCACCCACCATCATGCCTGGCTAATTTTTGTATTTTTAGTAGAGACGGGGTTTTGCTGTGTTGACCAGGCAGGTTTCAAACTCCTGGTCTCAAGTGATTTGCACTTCTCAGCCTCCCAAAGTGCTGGGATTACAGGCACGAGCCATTGCACTCAACCCAGGTCTAGGAATTTCAAGGTATTTTGAGGACCTTGAGAAGAAACAAATTCACTAGATTCATATAGGTGTTACAAACACAATCTGATGATAAATCTTTGGCTTGGCTTTCTAGCCTGGAGGCTTTTAAAAGTTGAATCTAAAGTTTCTTATTAAAAAATTCGCTCATGCCTGTAATCCCAGTACTTTGGGAGGCGGATCACTAGGTCAGGAGTTCAAGACCAGTCTGACCAACATGGTGAACTCCTGTCTCTACTAAAAATACAAAAATTAGCTGTGTATGGTGGGGTGCACCTGTAATCCTAGCTACTCAGGAAGCTGAGGCAGAAGAATCACTTGAACCCAGGAGGTGGAGGTTGCAGTGAGCTGAGATTGTGCCACTTTACTTCAGCCTGGGTGACAGAGCAAGACTCTGTCTTAAAAGAAAAAAAAAATCCAGCAGAGGAAGATGGCGTCGCAGAGGGTCGGATCGTTTCCCCGCGGGCTCACGGCGCTGCTGCTGCTGCTGTTCCTGCTCCTGCTTGGGCTCCGGCCCGCGGCGAGCCACGGCGGTAAGTACTCGCGGGAGAAGAACCAGCCCGAGCCGCCTCCGAAGCGCGAGTCCCAGGAGGAGTTCCGCATGGAGAAGCTGAACCAGCTGTGGGAGAAGGCCCGGCGGCTCCATCTTCCTCCCGTGAGGCTGGCCAAGCTCCACGCTGATCTGAAGATGCAGGAGAGGGACGAACTTGCCTGGAAGAAACTGAAGCTCAAGGGCCTGGACGAAGACCGGAAGGAGCGAACTCATACGCAACCTCAATGTCATCCTGGCCAAGTATGGTCTGGATGGGAAGAAGGACACTCGGCAGGTGACCAGCAACTCTCTCAGTGACACCCAGGAAGACGGGCTGGATGACCCCAGGCTGGAAAAGTTGTGGCACAAGGCAAAGACCTCTGGGAAATTCTCCAGTGAAGAACTGGACGAGCTTTGGCGGGAGTTCCTGCATCACAAAGAGAAAGTTCACGAGTACAACGTCCTGCTGGACTCCCTGAGTAGGACCGAAGAAATCCACGAGAACGTCATCAGCCCCTCAGACCTGAGTGACATCAAGGGCGATGTCCTGCACAGCAGGCACATGGAGCTGAAGGAGAGGCTGCACGGCATCAACCAGGGCCTGGACCACCTGGGCAGGCTCAGCCACCAGGGCTACGACACCGAGGCCGAGTTCGAGGAGCCCAGGGTGATTGACCTGTGGGACCTGGCGCAGTCTGCCAACCTCACCGAGAAGGATCTGGAGGCGCTCCGGGAGGAGCTCAAGCCCTTCGAAGCCAAAATCGAGAAGCACAACCACTACCAGAAGCAGCTGCACATCGCGCACGAGAAGCTGAGGCATGCGGAGAGCGTGGGCGACGGCGAGCTTGTGAGCCGCAGCCTCGAGAAGCACGCCCTGCTGGAGGGGCAGACCAAGCAGCTGTAGACCAAGCTATACGGTGAAGAAGCATCTCCAGGACCTGTCCAGCAGGATCTCCAGAGCTCGGCACAACGAACTGTAAAGGTGTCGGGAGCCCGGCCCGGCAGGGAGGAGGCCGGCGTGAGGGACCTGGGCTCCTAGCCGTGGCATTCCCGTGGACAGCCTGCTGTGAGGGTGGCTGGGGCTGGCACAGCTGTTGCAGCAGGAAGGCTTATTTCTGGTGACTGCAGCCGCTGCTGTCCTGACACAGGACTTGGTGGTGGTCGCGTCTGGGTCTGAGATCGGCCTAGCTCTGACCAAGGGGGCTTGGCTTCCGCTCAGCATCAGCGTGGTCCTCCCCTCCTCTGCCGGGGAGGACCTCCATGTCCACCCGCTGTGGGTCTGCCAGTCCTCTGCTAAAACAACACAGTTACAGAAAAAAATCTTATACGTCTGCCGCTGGAAGTTCTATGTACAGAATCCTTGAAATTTATAGTGCAGTATTTAAACCACAAAAAAAAAAAAAAAAAAAATCCAGCAAAGACAACTTTAAAAAAGCCTATATGACCAATCACTATTCTTGCTGCACTTTATGCAAATAATCAGGCCACGTATAATAAAATTAAAAAGTATTTTGCAAATAAATTGATCTTATTATTATTTGTCTTTGGTAGAAATGAGAAACTAGAAAAGAAAAATTACGTTTAAAAAATATATATAGTACGGATGACATTAGATTGTAGCCCTGGCCATTGTTTTTTTTTTGAGACAGAGTCTCCCTCTGTCCCAGGCTGGAGTGCAGTGGCATGATCTCAGCTCACTGAAACCTACACCTCCTCCCTGGTTCAAGCTATTCTCCTGCTTCAGCCTCCTGAGCAGCTGGAATTACAGGCATGCACCACCTAATTCTTGTATTTTTAGTAGAGACAGGGTTTCACCATGTTGGCCAGGCTGGTCTTGAACTCCTGACCTCGTGATCCACCTGCCTCGGCCTCCCAAAGTGTTGGGATTAAAGATGTGAGCCACCACACCTGGCCTGTCCTGGGCATTGCTTTTGAGTCTTTATTATCTGCCTACAATTTGGACTGAGTCTGAATTCTTTCCCAGATACAAGTCTCCAAACTAACATTTTTCAAATTTTCCTATGATTTTTCTGACTTGGACTCACTAAAAATTAAAATTGTGCTGCAAACTGAAGCTAGATAGCTTGATACAAAGTCTAGGAGAAATCACCACAGCAACTTACGTAGAAACAGCCTCTGTGCTTGCTAACATATACAATACTCAGAAAGTTCACCTGAACACCTGGTTCAAGTTACAATTCAAAAACATCTGTCAAATCACCGGTGCAATCTAAAGATACTTTAGAGACTCTGCAAAAATGAGTTAGAGACTACTCCAGACATTAATTTTTGTTTTTCTTCTGTTTCTGTAGAAATGACTCGTACTAAAGATCTGTTCGCCTGCATCATAAATTAGAGGCCTAGCCCATCTGCAGTGGCACCTCCTGGAATGGAACACAGCTGTTTAACCAAACTGATCTATTCTCAGAACTAAGACTGATTAATGAAGAATATGGGATGATATATCTAAATTTGCTCTTTTCTACTTATCCAAATTTGTTTTTCAGCTCCTTTCTCTATCTCTATCTAACAACCTTCAACTCTAATCTCTCCAAAGCTATCAACCTGACTTTTAATATTTAAAACCTTTTTAAGTTTTAAAGTGGGAACTGAAGGAAATAAAAGCGATTTACCCCAAAATATATTTATATATTTAGAGATGGCATTTTGCTCTTGTTGCCCAGGATAGAGTGCAATGGCATGATCTTGGCTCACTACAACCTTTGCCTCCCTCCTGGGTTCAAGCGATTCTCCTACCTTAGCCTCCCAAGTAGCTGGGATTAGGGGCATGCACTACCACACCCGGTGAATTTTTTGTATTTTTAGTAGAGGTGGGGTTTCTCCATGTTGGTCAGGTTGGTCTTGAACTTCTGACCTCAGGTGATCTGCCCACCTCTGTCTCCCAAAGAGCTGGGATTACAGGCTTAAACCACAGTGCCTGGCCGTTTTTTTTTTTTTTTTTGAGATGGAGTCTCATTCTGTTGCCAGGCTAGAGTGCAGTGGCACCATCTTGGCTCACATCTTGGTTGCTTCCCCGTTTCAGCAATTATGGATAAAGCTGCTGTAAGCATCCGTGTGGAAGCTTTTGTATAGACATAACTTTTCAGTTCATTTGGATAAATACCAAGGAGCAAAACTGCTGAATCATATGGTAAGACGATGTTTAATTTTGTAGGTGTTGGAAATGAATGTTGGAAATAGATACTCGGTGTTGCAAAGAAAAGTTAGCAGTGAGACAAAGGATCTTTCAGCAATGCAATTTTCACTTCCTGGACTGCAGGAAGGGTACTTCCGGTAGCCATCGTGCCACAAGAGTAGAAAGAACAAAGGGAATGCGCATAAATTTATTCCTTACTGCTGTGTCTGATCTCTGTTGGCTGGAGCCAGACTTCACAATCTAAACTAAAACTGAATTGGCTAACAACTTAAAACTTTTTTAAACAGGTAAAAGCAATGGAGAGCTAGGACATGCCTGTGAGCACATCTAGCACAGATTTATCTTGGTTAAAGTACAAGGGCATAGAATGTACTACGTGCCCATTGCATATCTATTTAACAGTTACATAGGATAGGGTCTAACAAAGAGTTATTAGCACACTTATGCTTTTTTTTCCTTTTTCAAAATTATTTATTTATTTATTTTAAAGACGGCATTTCACCATATTGGTCAGGCTGGTCTGGAACTCATGACCTCAGGTGATCTGCCCGCCTCAGCCTCCTAAAGTGCTGGGATTACAGGCGTGAGCCACTGCGCCTGGCAGCACACTTATGATTCTAATAGGTGTAAATGATATCTCACTGTTGTTTTAATTCACAGTTCTTTAATAACATATGATGTCAAACATCTTTTCATATGATTACCTGTAATCTGTATATCTTATTTGATCCGGTGACTCTTCAGATCTTTTGCCCATTTTTTTTTTTTTTTGAAATGGAGTCTCACTTTGTTGCCCAGGCTGGAGTGCAATGGTCTGCTCTTGGCTCAGTGCAACCTCTGCCTCCTGGGTTCAAGTGATTCTCCTGCCTCAGCCTCCCAAGTAGCTGAGATTACAGGCACCAACCACCATGCCCAGCAAATTTTTCTATTTTTAGTAGAGATGGGGTTTTACCATGTTGGTCAGGCTGGTCTCGAATTCCTGACCTCATGATCTGCCTGCCTCGGCCTCCCAAAGTGCTGGGATTACAGGCATGAGCCACCACACCAGGCCATTTTTAAAAATCAAAATATACACTTAAAATTAGTACGCTTTATACATTTTTATTGCATTGTGCTATCTTTCAATTTAAAAAAATATATTAACCAAGTGTTACATTAAATAAAGAACATCGAAAACCAAAAAGGAGATGGGGCATCCACAGGGTTAGGTGCCCCTTGTGGAAGGGCTTTTGATCCCCCTGTACCAAGGCTTTTGATCCCACTACAGAGCAATTCCCTGCTGTACTAGCAGCAAAGCTTGGAATGCGGTCAGGAGTCAGCAAAGTGTTGGGCCAGGTTTCTCCAACTCACAATGAGGCACCTGAAAATGGAAGATTTGAAGATATAATGTCCTCATTGGACTGTTATGGTTTGAGACATATGTTTTCTAAACCGGAGGCTGAGAAGAGCCAACAACCCCAGGACAAATTATCTGAAATATCCAAGTAACCTATTAGGTCCTGTCTGGCTGGGCCCTTCCCATTTCAATTAAAAGGCCCCAGGTCCCACAACCTCACTCTGTCTTCTTTCAGCCTTTTGCAAAAGGTGTAGTCAACATTTCTTGAGTTTTCACTTAACAGGGTCTTAGGTCCTTCTGGAAGTTGAGAGGATAAAAGAACCATCTGGAAATTCTTTGTCTTATGACATTGTTTAGTTCAGACTTAATTTCCCCTTCTGCTTCCTCCTTTGTGCCTTTTTACCCCAGGTCAGACAGGGTGACAATCACAGCCAGCTTGTGATCTGCAAGGGTGTATTATAGACACTGGGGAGGTATTTGTGCCTCCCTGGTGGCTTGTTCAAGGAGCTATATAGATGTTGCTTTTTAGTCTGGGATGCTGATTCCACTTAAAGACCACAAGACTAAGAATTAAGAAAGGAACTGAGACCTGAAGACCATGCTATGCACCAAGACTGTGTGGCTTCAGTAATTCACTGAGGAGGGTGAGACTAGCTGGCCCTGTAAAATGTCCTCTGCAGTTTGCAGGGCTGTGTGAAGGCACCAGCTTATATTCTGTTTGCCCAGGAGAGACTCAGAGAGAAGGAGTTTCCAAACCAGCAAATGCAAAGAAAGATAAAAAATCTGAGAAAACTTTGAAAAGAGATCTCAAAGGAAAAAAAAAAAAAGAACAATCTGAGAAAACAGTCTCCTTAGGATCAACAGTCTTCTTTCTCAGTTATCTTTTCCTATTTCACATTTCAAAAACTCTTTTCACAGCTGAGCAGCAGTGCTCATTGTGCCAAAGCTGCACACAGCTCAATTCCAGTTTGAGTTTGGAATTGTGCCCCTTTAAAACCACTTAAAAACCTTTTGGTTCTTTCTTCCTATGTGCAGGATGTACTTGTACATAGCATCAACGCTTCCCCTATGGTCAAATTAATGAACTCCATTTAAAAAAGAATAAAAACACACTGGTGAACGCCCAGTATCCTTAAGAAATTTGGAGGCAAAACAGGGGTTGGGGAGAACCTCCGAATCCATCAAAACAGGTGTCAAGGCATCCCTTCGCCATCAAGGACAGCCTTCTCACCCCAACACCTCTCTCTGTGTTGCTGGCCTGGCAGAATCACAGCTAGGTTTTTCCCAGCTTTCCCTCCCTCATCTAGTTACTACCCTCTTCAAAAGCAGAGGTCAGTGCTGGGCACTTTCCCTTGCCAATCCCCTATCAAACCCTTTTGCCAACAAAAAAAGGAGCCAAACATGGGTTTTCCAGGCCCATGACAGTCCCCAAATGTCAAGACAGATGTGTTTCCTCGTGTCACAGGGTGAGGACAAGACAGCAAAGTGCTCACCCACATCCTACCTCCCTTAGGAAAAGCGGGTTGGTTTCTTGAAAGAAAAGGCTGCCATTCCCAGCAGAAGCAAAAAAACCCCGTGCTACCTCCATTTCCCTATCATCCCAGATGCTGAGAGAACACTGACATGTCCTTATTTTTAGTTTTTTTTTTTTTTTTTTTGAGACGGAGTTTTGCTCTTGTTACCCAGGCTGGAGTGCAATGGCGCGATCTCGGCTCACCACAACCTCCGCCTCCTGGGTTCAGGCAATTCTCCTGCCTCAGCCTCCTGAGTAGCTGGGATTACAGGCACGCGCCACTGTGCCCAGCTAATTTTTTGTATTTTTAGTAGAGACGGGGTTTCACCATGTTGA